AAGACAATTTTTTTAAATATTATATGATGAATAGTTAATTTAAGAAATATACTCATGTCAGCAAATTCACAAAAATCATATTTTTAAAAAGTTATTGTGTTCCAAATTCATTTAACCAAAAAATTAYTGAATTTTAAAAAAATTCTAAAAAATAAACTACTTGATTTAGATAAATCTTTTTACCATCAAAATTGTTCTTATAATCAGAGGATCATAAATAGGCTATTTTGAATTTATCCAACATTTTTTTTATTAAATTAATTTTTTTATTCTCAGTACTATAAAATAAAACATAAAAAAATKTATTATACATGTAGTGCTAGGTTCACTTAATGAACAAAAAAAAAATATTAATGTGAAAAAAAATTAATCCAAATGTCAGTTCTATCAGTTACACCTTGTATGTGTACCAAGTTCATTATTATCTGTTTCGTTGCAATTAGAGTTTTCAGTATTATCTAGAAACTGATAATTATTARGATCAAAGTGATACTAAAATACCATCTAGTTWCTCATYATYAGAATTTTCAACTTTTCACACTCAGCTAMAAATACCATTAAATTCGGGGCAGATARCAAAAATATTAATATTGATAAATKATATAAATAATATAATATTAATAAATATACTGCGAAAATTCATCTAAAATAATAACTTTATTAATACGTTTGTATTAAATTATTTAATAATCTAAATTAGCAATAAAAAATTATAACATGATGCTTTAGTAATGAACATAATTTGTACTCATCATATTGCAAAAACTTTGATCAATATTTCTTTATTGTTTCCTCATTTTTTGGTTTTTTTTTTTTTCAGTAAATTGTTTTTGTTGTCCTTTAGAAGTTTTAAGTTCTTCTGCTTAGGATTTATCGAAAAACATTGATGTAAGAAGGTGAGATGGACGATTAGTGTAAAATAAATTATTACAATTAAAGCTAGAAATATTATGATTTAGTAGAGCTGAATGAAAGTATTTTAATTTTCGTTTGGTTTATGCCTTTATTTTTTAATTAGGATCAGCATCATTCTTTGTTTAAAAAAAAATAAATTGAGAAAAAGTTAATGTTTTATCTGAATATGATGTCCAATAGATCCTTTAATCAATTATTCCTAAGTAGATGTGATTTGTGTTTTTAGTATCTTATAAACATACAACATGGCAAATTAACTGATCAATTTTGATTCGTGAATTTTAATATTACAATAAATTTACCAATTTGTCCTAGATATAATTGAAGGTAAGAATATTAAAAGTGTTCTCACAATTCTTTTAAATATTTTTAATTAAAAAGCAAGTCATAACTCATAAGTAGTATACTAGTATGTAAAACATTTGAACTTTAAAATTCTCAATTCACTTAAAATCATTAAAACATCAAAACAGAACACAGATAATATTCTTACAATGACATCGTTCGTCAATTTTTTTTTTTTATTAACATTTATTAAAAATGATTATACAACATGGATTCTGCTGATCAAAGGAAGACTATAATTATTATACAGTCATTTTTTCATATTAACTCA